TATACAGTGAATATTGTAAATCAGAAACGATTTTTTCGTTTATTGGACGTTCATTGTTTACTTATTGCAAGCCACATATGTTAAGATAACATAAGATATTTTTAAACATAATAAAACTCAAGTAAAAGTAAGTTTTTAATGGAACATTGTACTGTGTATGAGAATTTTAATCTACTTTCTAATTTATATATATAAATACTGTTATGTATGAATTCAATCATAACAACAATAAAGAATTTAAAAAATGCTGTGAATAAAACAAAAAACATTTCGCGAAATCTAATACAATTTGAAAATAATTTTCCAATGAATGTTCGAATAAATAGAAAATCAAAACACAAATAATTACCGTAATTCCAGTAGCAAATTAAAAGGCCGCAACTCGTGAAAAATAAATGTTGAGAAACTGGACTCTTTCCGTAGAGTTTGTACCTGTGGAGAAGGGCGATGGGAAATCCTGAAAGTTCAATTACATTTCCATTATCCTTTAATTTTTATTAAAGCCCCTTGAAATTTCACATCCATAAAGCAGTCGTTACTCAACACCCAAGACTATGTACAATTTTGTGACTTAATGTTAATAGTATTTTTAACGCTTCTAAATTTATTGCACAAGATTTTTGTCTTTTTTTAGAAAATATTACCTTTTACGTATTAAGTTTCGAATGCATTTTACGAAAAATTCTTGAATTACTTTTTAACGCGTGTCCAAATTGTTTAATAGCAGATAAAAAAATGCGAATATGTAACGCAATAGGCAAACACTCATATGTCTCGTCGAACACAAATACCAATCCAAACAAACCGAATTGCAATACAATTATAATTTATGTAGACATACGCGACACATTAATTAGCACCTTTATTAAAATTCTTATCACATCCATGATATATTATGAAATACAAAAAAGATATGGTTAATTTTTCAGATAGGCAATTTTCACATTGAAATGCAGCATAAAATGTAAGAATCCTTATGTTAATTTAATTATTATTTTTCACCTTATTCGTATCATCATTATTATAAACATTACTATTTACAAAACCATTGTTACAAGAAAGGAGAGGACCAAAAATTTGATAATAGGAAAGGTAAATGAACGTTGCTTTTTTGTTGGAATTATTATTGTAATATTGCGCGAAGAGAAATTCAAGCTCCAATACAATTATGTACACATGAACGGAAGTTCCAATTTTTCATCAATTGGGATAATGGATATAATAATTCATTAGACAGTTGTATTATTTCTGTACAAATAACAAAACCAATTTATTAACAGTAATATCACAAAGAAATACTGCAACGAATCGCACAATAACCAAACGAAATTAACGTATTTATTATTTATGGTAAGAATGTGATTCGAATATGTAATAATGTCTTGTTTTCAACAATCGTTAGAACTTATGTGACAATGTTCTTTCTGTATAAAAATCAATGGAAAAAAAAAGAAAATACATTAAATTCCATAATATGCAAGCATCAAATTCTGTTAGTAATGACAACGTTATCATTAATTCCAGGTTTGAAGCAAAAACTTATCCTATGCGCATGAGTCAACAAGTTTGTATCAAGTGTAGATAACCTTATACAAATACTTGAATACCATAACCAAACTTGATTATCACTAAACTTCAAAAATTGCGTAGATGTGGCGAGAAATATAAAAACACAGCAGGTTAAAATAGATAAGAACCGAAACTAATGTCGATTATACAATCGATGATTAAGCAAAGCAACTGGATCCAGGTTATAGGTTAACGAGCGCCAACCACAATTCATGGAAACAATACGAAAAGTATGAAGAAAGGAAAGGAAACCATATTTTGGTGACTGGTTCAATTACCAAGTAAAATGGAGATAAGAAGTTGGAATGCTGCCTCCGAGACACCTATGGTATCGGAGATGCTCGACAATACACTGCCAGACATTGCCAGTCCTTGAACTTGATCTACTTCTAAAATTGTACTATGTATTCGGACTGAATCTGTTACGTATGCGTTGAGTTTATGTCCTCCTAACTAATTTTTTTAATAGAAATATTTATAATTTTTCGCAGAGATACTGTAACTCGTCACCACCGAGGTTATCAAAGTTTAAAACTAAAGAGACGATCAGAAGGAGAAAATGAACTTCACGTAATGGTCAGAAAAGCGTTCGGAAATACGCTCAATTAACGTGGAGAAATATTCAACCGGGAGATGTTTTCAAAGGAAGAATTACGTTTTTATATTACATATCTACTTATAAGTTACGAAATCGTCAACAGTTTAGCTTCGAATTTGTATCTATAAAAAACAGTCAACACTTCAGTTAATTTAGGAACGCTCGTAAATGCACAAGCATGAACCCACCTGTCATTATGATATAGCGTCATTTGTTACAGACTTAATTTCGATTTTGTTTCGGTTGCATATATCAATAGCAAATTACAGATTTGCATAATCATGCACAGAAATTTAAAATTATAATACATTTCTCAAATTCTTTGTAAACAACTTGCCTTAATTAAAATAAAAGACTACGATACATGTTGCAATATATAAAATGACACCATTGTAAATTTATTTGTAATAAGTGTTTGTGTACGCAAATGTATGCACTTGTAAATAGCTAATATAGTTATAAATATTAATGATAGAAAATATATCTTTTCAATATTTTACGGATCGTAATTAATACTTACCCTAAATATAAAACTATAGTACGTTCATATAATAATGAACGGAACTACTTAATTATTACTTACTTTAGTGAAATATGTTTTGAAATACTCAGAAAAATGTAAGCTGAACTTTAATCGTAACATATGTG